GCCGCCTCCGCCACGCCGCACGGCGGGTCCCACCCGGCGGTCGCGGATGTGGCCGGGCCATTGCCTGTGCAGCCAGAAGCGAGCCGCGGCGGCGGCGGCGGCGGCGTCGGCGGCGGCGCGCTGCCGGCGGCTGGGGCTGGCGGGTGGCGGCGCATGGACCACCTCAGCTCTGCTCGGTACCAGCAGCTAATGCGGCAGGTGCGTGCCCCTGGGCGCAGCTATGCTCCGCGACGGTGCCGCTGCCCAAGGCTGCGCGCCGGCCATTCAACCATGTCGCGCTTTCTTGTGCCAGAGCGTCTGCAGAATCGCACGCCAGCATTTTCGAGCTGCTTTGAGCTGCGCTGTGGATTACTGCTCCTTACGCATGCCTGGCTTTGCTGCCTGCACCTCCACAATGAAAACACCGCCCAACCTCCCCTTTGCCATCACTTGCAGGTGCAGCAACGGATTGATGCGCAGGTGCAAGCCACACGACTGGGGCTTCACGCCCGCGGCAGCGCCGATGGGGGCGGCGGCGGCGGCAGCGGGCGGGCTGGCGGGGCCAGTGTCGGCGGCGCCAGCACGAGCAGCGGCCCGGAGGGGCTGGATGGGAAGCTTGGGGCGCTGCTGAGCGGCTGGGAGGCGACGCGGGGCGAGCGGTTGGCGGCGGTGATGCGGCGGCAGCAGATGCTGCAGCATGCGGTGCGGCTCCCAGTGAAGTAACGTAATGGACAGTCTTAACCAGTGCAGGTTGTGCTTGTGTGCGGTGAATCATCGCGTGGTTGCACTTCACGCGCTGTAATTGAGATTCGCACGTACATGTCTGCGCGCCACGCTGCTCGCATTACCTACCGCAACAGGAGCGTCTGAGCTCGCAGCTGCAGCACCTGCCCGCGCTGGCGGACCTTTCCCCTGGCGCAGCGTGCCCGTTCAGCTCCCTGTCCTCCCCGTGCGGCGGCGACGGCGACGACGGCGGGGTGCGGCGGGCGCGGGCCTGCCAGGCCCATGCCCTGGCGCTCGCGGAGGCGCGCGTTGGCAGCAAGTGGTGGCTACCGCTGCGGCGCCTGAACAGTCAGCAGCGGGCGGCGGCGGCGGCGGCGGCGGCGTCCTCGGCCGCGGCCGCGGCGGCCACGAGCGGGGCGGCGTGCGACGAGGACGCGGCCGGCCAGGCGTGGGAGCAGGAGGACCACGCGTGGCGTAGGAACTGGCAGCGGATCGTGCGGGAGGAGGCGGCGCGGCCGTCTGGGTTGGCGGCCAAGAGAGGGCCCCTGCGGATTGAGTACAGCCTGGAAAGCTGCGGTGGATGAACGGGCAGGCCGGGTGATTATCGCTGGGGCTGGATGTGTAAGCCGCTATTGATGGCCGTATGGGTTGCTATCTCAAAGGAACCGAGGAAGCAGGAAGCGAGCGGCACCCAACCACGCTGCGCGCTGCGGACTGCTGCAACGCACCGCTTGCAGTCCGGCTCTGCACAATCAAATTGCATTTGCATGCGGGCCGTCGCAGCCGTAGCTCTGAAATGCAGCTCATAATAGCACGGGAGGATGGCGTCCTCAGGGGGTCCCGTGGGCGTGGGAACGACACGCCCGGGAGCTGCCCGTGAGCAGCTGAGCTGGCAGGGGCTGCACGTCGGCTGGGGCGCGGAAGCTGGAAAATCAGGTGGACGCCCCTCCTGGGAGTACTTCACGTACCACGCGATCAATATAGATTCATAAAGAGAACTTCAAACAAGTCTGTCGAACGCCCTTGCCAACGCGTCCAAAGCAGTCCAGCTGGACAAAGCTGACAGCTCCCCGAACCGAGAAACCTCTGCCCCCTTCCAAGCCTACAAAAACAACACTGACACTCCCTTAGCGCTATCAAGTATCCTACAACAAAGGTGAGGGCCCCGTAAAGCCTTCGCAAGGCTAAACCGTTCGTGGTGCCCGGCCTCTTTGTCAGCCTCGTTCTGCGTGCGTGCTGTCTCCAAGAAATAGCACACAAACTAGAACGCTGCTTCGCGCTCTGTCGAGCCTGCTGACGCTGTCGCATCCGCCCCACCTCCGCTACTCTGCAGCCGCGTCGCGCACAGCCGCTGCTTGCGCTCCATCCCCGTCATCATCAACCATGACGCCCATCCAATCCCTGCTGGTGAGCGCCACAATTGCACAGGATATGTATGGGAGCTCCCTATGCTTGCACATGTACAGTTGATCGCGCTGCCGGTGCTGCCCGTCTTCTCAAAGCTGCGCCGTCGCAGCAACCGACCTGTTGACGCATTGCCCTCACCCCACCGCAGGCCCTGGTGAACCTGGCAACCCTCGGCAACGCCCTCAAGCGCATCACCACCCCCAAGGCCGCCATCAAGATCATCGCCGACGCCCCGTCTGCGACCACCGCGCCACTAGCGCCCCTGGCCTGCGCCCCGGAGCCCAAGTCGAGCGACGCCACCACCCCCGACCCCGTCCCTCATGCCGCCGCCGCTGACGCACCCACGGCCGCCAAGGCCAGCTGGTTTGTGCGCGCGGTGTCCGGCCTCAAGGACAGGTGGCGCGCTGTGACTGCCGCCGCCGCCACAAAGACCCCTGCTGCTGCCGAGAAGCACGCGCCCACGCCGCGCACGGCCAGCGCCACCTCCGCCAGCGCCACCTCCAGCACGAGCAACACTTCCCAGGCCGCTGCCGCCGCCGCCCCTGGTGACGACGCCTCCGCCCCCAAGGCCCCGAAGAAGGCCAACTGGTTTGCGCGCGCGTTTGCCACCGCCGAGGCCAAGTGCGGCGCCGCGTGCGCCTCCGTCGCAGTCTCATGGCCCGCCTCCGCCGCCAAGGCCGCGGCCGCGCTCACCCCCAAGCGCAAGGCCTTAATATAGAAGAGTCGCAGCAGCAAGGCTGACACCAAGACCTCTTCCCTGCTCACGAGTCCCGCGGTCGTCGCTCCTGTGGCCGGCCCCATCGACATCGACAGCCCCACCTCTGCCGCCGCTGACGACGCCGCCGTGCTTGTGAGCGTCGTCGCCCCCGCCGCCCCCGAGCCCACAGTCGCAGCCCTCGAGCCCGGCTCGAAGGCCGGCGCAGCCGCCACTCCCAGGTGGGGCAAGTACCTTGGGGACAGGTTCAGGGCTGCCCTGCCGCGCACCCGCAGCGACAGGCGCCCCACCACCCCTGCGGCCCCCATCAAGGCGCGCTCCGGCGGCACCCCGGCCAAGCCCGGCGACGCCGAGCCCGCCACCGCCGCCACTGTCGCCGCCCCCAAGGGTCGCATCGGCGCCGCTCTGGCTGCCAAGCTTGCGCGCCTCTCGTCGCGCCGCAGCCGCGACCGCCCCGATCAGGTGGCGGCAGCAGCGGAGGCGCTGGGGGGCGAGGCGGCGGTGGCCTGCTAATCGCATGCGTGCAGGCGATGTCCCAGCGGCGCTTGTTAGGTTGACCCCCATACATACAAGATAACAATCCTTTACAGCGCCTCAAATGTGTTTTGCGAGTTTCCAGTATTGCCTTGAGTCCCTCTTGCCAGCTTGCCAGCCCATGCCTTGACCTTGCCTCGCCCTGCATGCCCCTGCAAGTTGCTTATGCCAGATCCTTCTGTCGGCGCATGTATTTCTGTTTGCACGTCCCTGCTGGCCCCCCCCCTTTTGAGTCGTGGCAGTTTATACAGTGTGTTGTGGCCAGCCGCATCCAGCTCTGCCAACGACCGCCCTTGCGGCCCCTGCCCTGGGGCGCAGCCAGAGCCTGCACGTCGACCCTTGCGCCCCTGGTGCCCCAAAGGCCAGGGGGGCACCGGCGCCCCCTGGCGCCGGCCTTTGCGTTTGTCCATGAATCCCAGGGGGCATCAAAACAATCACACAACTCTTCATGACGCATCACGTATGACAAACCGCCGGCGTGTTGCTGCACTACCATTGTGCGCTGCGCCCTTCCTCGTGCACCTTCCCTGCTGTTGCGCCCTCTGCTACCTCCCCTTGCACCATCGGGTGCCTGGCACCAAAACGCGGCAAAGGAATGCCATGCATTTGAACAAACGCTTCCCGTCCTTGACCACGTTTTTTGAACGCTCTTGTGGTGTGTGTCCTGCCTTTGCGTAGCCCTGGCTGCTTCTTGAAGGGGCACTGTGTGGGTTGAGAGACCAAGCCCACCTGTTGTCCATCATTCCGGCTGGCAGACTGGGTTTGTTGAGTTGCCAAGTTGAGACAGAGTAAGGAATGCCATCCACTGGAATTCCTGGCAACAGCGAAGCACAAGCACACTGTTAAAAGTCAGGGCGGCGCCAGTATGGCAAAACCCAGCGTTGGCGTGACGTGCACTGAAACCGCATCCACCCCGTCTGTGCAGGGCAGGTCCCCAGGTGATGCGCCAGGCGCTTGCAATCGCGTCAGGGCGGCTGCCGCTGCATACTGCCTTTTGCAAGTGGCCGATGACCAAAATAAGAGGGGAGAATTGTTGTGCAGCGCAAGGGCGACTGTTGCGTGGCCATGGGGCGTTCAATGCAACCACAAGTGCCGTCGCCCGTTTGTCGCACTTGCTCCTCGTATATCGCGTGCAGCAACTGTTGGGCATTCTCATAGCCGGGCTGTCAATGCGCGCTTGCAGTTAGCGCGATGTTGATGATGTCACATGGCATATGATCAACTGCTTGAACCCGGAGGAGATGTAACATCAGCGTCGTTGGCAGGCCCCCACGCGCGCGGAGGCAGCGTTGCAGCGTCGGGTGCACATACGCACGTACAAGTCAGATTGTGCAACAGCTGCCAACCGGGCGACCAGCGTGCACAACGAAACCGCCCGCCTCACGCCCAGCAGCAGGACGGCTGCAAGCCACAGCACCTTGGCGTGTTTGCCTGCCCTCACTCATCACCACCACCAAAGTCGTCGCCGCCGCCAAAATCATCACCGCCGCCGTCGTCGAAGCCGCCGCCGCCATCATCGCCGCCGCCTCCATCTCCAGCTTCCCAGGTGTTGGCGTCCGCGGCGCCGTCGCCGTCAGCGTCGGCATCGGCGTAATCAGGGACGCCTGGAACGCGGGGATTACGACAAAAGAGGAGGAGAGGCGCCCAAGCCGTTCGCCGTCAAACCCAGGTGACACAGCAAGTTGCAAGGTGTGAAGAACAAATGTCTGAAGAACAAATGTCATGGTGTAACCACCAGCACAGTGGAACTATTCCAGTTGTGACAACCAGAGCGCAGCTGTTCAGAGCTGGCAGGCCCAACGCCGCCCCAGGTGGGGCCAAGCCCCCGGCCAGAAAGGCTCCCGCAGGGGTTTTGCCGCACAAACGCGGCGTGCATGCGGGATGCATGGCGCACCATCAGCATCGTAGTCCGGCGCGCCGCCGCCGCAGCCCCCCTCAAAGCCGCCGCTCTCAAAGCCGACGCCGGCAGGGGCGGCGTTCCTGCGTTGGATATGAGCACGGAGGGGCGCGCGGGCGCTGCGTCGCCAACGGATCCGAGCGCCGCTGCGCCGGCGGCGCGGCAGGGGTTTCGCAGCCGCGGGTGCCTGCCCGCCCAGACAAGGGAGGACCGCAGCCACAGCAGCAACGGGCAGCGGGCTGCTTCCCCGCCTGCCACTTGGCCAGGGCCCGCGCGCCCTCGCAGCAAAGCGCGCACAGCGCACAAAGCGAGGCGCCACGTTCGAGCGCGCCCCACGCATGGCCGCGCCCCTCCATCCAGCATGGGGCCAGAGGCCTGCCCGCTGCCCTCCCCCAGAAAGAGCTCACCAATTAGCAGCGTCTGGCACACCGTCCCCATCAGCGTCGCCATCTACATTGTCTGGGACCCCGTCGCCATCGTAGTCCGGGCCCTGCGCCTGGGGGGTCGGGCAGGGGCGCCGGAGCGGCGCAGATCGCACGCTCGCATGCGCATCGCGCAGGCCGGTGCGTGCGTGCACTATACACATCCACGCAGCGCGCATCGGCCACGCGGCGCGTGCGGCTCGGGCGGGGAGGGTGGGGTGGCAGGCTGCTTCAGCGCGCGAAGCAGAGGGCCTCACCTGGGGGTTTTCCGCCCAATCTGGGACGCCGTCTTGGTTCAAGTCCTCTCTAAATGGGTTGCGAAATTGCATGGGTTTGGTTGTAGGCGGCGCCATGGGAGCAGGGACGCAAACTGTTTGGGGACGCGTGTCTGGCGCCGGGTGTGCAGCCCAAGCGCCGCCCCTTGCGGACGTCCCTGGTCGCCCGGCACTGCGCGGCGCCCCGCCGCGGCGCCGCGGCCAGCGGTGTCTTGAGTGGCACAGCCAGGCGCCCCCGCCAGCGGCGGCGGGGGCGGCAGAGCAAGGTGGGCGGCGCAGCGCGCGCCCTCACCCGTCATGTAGCTCATACATGCCCATCGCCGCCGCCGCGCCGGCCGCGCCGACGCCCGCCCCCACCATCCCGGGCCCGGC